CAGTAACATTGTACTGAATACATGTTGACTGTCAACAGTCAATGACAATATCACCTGCAAACATACTTCTGATGCATAATATACACACACTTAAATTCTCTCAGATTTTAGCTGAGTCTGATGGAGTCAGTATTCCCTGCTGTGATTCACCTACAGTACTACTCATTTCTGTTGACAGCGCAGTTATAAAATGGAAAATTCAGAGATTCTCATATTAAATAATCTATTTTTCAAGTACAGAACCCCCTGGCTATGAGTTGTCAACATTTATTTTTGAATATATTTGAAGCGTTCTTTCCTGCCTAGTTTCACAAACATTTTTGCACAGCTGCAACTTTAAGGGAAGTTTAGCAGTAAAACAAAATATTTGGTTTGAGACCTTGACATTAGTGGATCACACAAAAATCTGGCTTGTCACTGAGGGCTAAAAATTCCAATGTTTTTTGTTACCATTACCATAGAACCAAAGCTCAGCACAGGCTTTTTTGTCTCTTTTTCCTGTCAGTTTAAATGCTGTGGCAGCAACAGTTCTTCTGATTGGGCCTCAAGTGTGTGGATTCGCTCTAGTGCCTCCAACGGGAGGAAGGTGCCTGACAGCTGCTGTAAGAGTGTCACTGAGATGTGTGGCCTCAGGGACCACCCCTCTAACATCTACAAGGTGGAGGTAGGAGAAAATGCTGTACTGGGGGAGACTGAGGGCCTGTTTAGCATGAAAACATTTGTATGCCAGCTTTAAGAGGACTTCAACTAGACATCTTTACCGTTAGGGTGGCTGTATCACTAAACTGGAAAGATTTATTCTGGACCACCTGAAGATCATTGGAGCAGTGGGTGTTGGTATTGCCTGTGTACAGGTATGTAGGGAATCCTCAGCTCAGACTAAGGTAAGTCTGGAGAAATCCCATTAAAATTTTTAATTTTTTTCTTCCTTCTAATCTCTAGGTCATAGGGATGGTGTTTACATGCTGCCTGTATCGAAGTCTAAAGGCAGAACCATATTAGGAGAAGCTAAAGAGCATCAGTGCGTGGGTGGAGCAGGTAATTCCATCACCACACATCAAGTCCAAACAGCCCAGCATCCGTTGTTTTTCTTTACCGTTCACACAGAGGGGAGAAGACTTTTGCCAGAGATTAGAATTGTATGTCAGAGAATTGTGTCTTAGTAAAACAAAGCAGTAGGAGATTTCTTGCCTCACCTTCATCTTGAAGACAATGGTGGTGTGGGGGGCGGGGCCCTGAGAGAAACAGATGAGAATTCTGATGCAGAGTGTAACCAGGCCTCATTGGGACAAGAGTCGTTGTAGTTTTTATCCACTCTGATCTCCTCTACCTGCATTAGTATGTGTGGAACAGATGTTACACCTGAGACTGGTGTAAAGATCAGCGGAGTAAAACAGGCACTTTGCAGAAAATGTTAATCTCCTGTTTGCCACAGCTTCTCTCCTCCAACAGCAGCTTAACAAGCCCACGCCTGAGGCCTTCCACTGCAGCGCTATTCACTTTCCACCTGAGCTGATTGGACATTCATTTGACTTCTTTTGATATTAAACATTTCTTTGTTCAATAGCGGCCTTTTCAACATTTTATTGGCTAGTTTTTATAGGTTGAAATTGATGATTTTTTTTTTCTGTAGAAGTTTTTTAGTTAGAGATTGATCATGTTTTTAAACACGTGTCCACATTTTCACTGGCTCATGCTAACACTGTCAAGTATTTAAACCTAATACTGAACTGATTTATATAAAACACACAGTCCTACAGATTTAGCCTTAATGAAGTGCCATTTTTTACTTCCTTTTTAATGCGACATTTATCCACTGATGCCAAAGTTGAACCTCTCTGTAAGGCTCACTGTATTTCCTTCAGCCTTGTTACGTATCTACGGAAGTCTCCTTAGATTAATTTAATATGATGACTCTTTTAAATGAAGATTTAATTTACCTTTTTATTAAACATATATGTTATATTTAACAGACCTAGCCAAGACCAGTGATTTCTTACTGTTTGTTGTAATTGTTTCCTCATGCCTTAAAGACAACATAAATTAATCTGCTGTATGACTAAACTTTGTGATGATCATGGGTATTTTTTTTTTTAAATAAACATTAACCAACACTTTGTTTCGCCTTTGTGATATAAAGTGTTGGTTTATTGCGTTCTCATGACAAGCAGCACCTTCTATATCCAACACTGTAAAGTAATGTCTTTAAATCGATTAAAAAGCCTTCAGTCTACTGTTTTAGGTCATGTCGATGAGGAAAAAAACTCAACCAATTTTGTATAAAGATAAAATAATGTGACTGAAACCGGTGGCCCTTACATAATTTCCACCAGCTTTCAGGTGCATTATTGTATTAACCCACAGCTACTTCACTAATGTGACTGTTTTATGGTGAATTAGGTTAACAGTGTGGCCCATATTCTCCGCTGTTGGTGCTGAAGTGTATAATACTGGCTTTTTTTTACTGAGAAATACTGTACTTCCTGTGTATATGACAAGAGCTTGTTTTCACACCAAGCTCACACCTTGTCATCGTAGTTCATCCTTGCAATTCAATTTCACAAATTTATTTTGGTTGTTTTTTTTAAAAGAGCAAACAAATGATGTGTTTGCTTATGACCTTTATTTGCCTGCTAATATATAAATTAATTTGAAAATTTTTAGCAAAACTTTCTCTTTCATCTTGTAGTAATGTTCGTTATTATAATTTGTTTACAATTGGTAGAGCAGGTGCTAATTCTGTACGCTTAACATTTTACTATTTGTTTTATTTAATTTTGTTTTTGTTAGGAATGGGAATACATTATGCATTCAGGTTTTGAATGTTGCCAAAATGTTTATATTTGAAAAAACAAATCAAATTATAAAAATATATAGTAGGAGAGGATAAAAACCCAGGGATAAACTGTCCCTTTTGTTTCAGTTTCCTTCTTGTTTTGACCTAGTAATTGTTTCAGCTTGCCTGCGTTTTGCTATCCCGCTAACTTGCTAACTGGATACTTTCACTGTGAAACTGGTTTGCATTTGACACCTTTGTGGTGTTGGTGGTAAAATAGTGTGCACTGTTATTGGGTGACTGATGCAGTTACTATGTGCAAACACAGGGGAGCAGCACCTGCCAGGCTTTCGGCAACGCAGCTGCAGGTAGACCAAATGAAAACAGTGGATGAGAGAACGTGCTAAACAACCTAAATATATTCACATTATTATATCAGTGTTGTGGTTCCTAGAGAATGACGGTGGAGGCAGAGGGAAATGGATATGAAGTCACCATCTCTAACGCCACTCATTTGTTAATTTAACATGTTTATATTTGTTGTGTGCAAGGATTTTTGTGCCTGATTGGTTAGGAAATTTTTCAGTCATCGTGCAGCACCAGCCGGAAGGAAATCAAATGTTGACCAGTCAGCTTACAGCCACAGCCTGCTAATTGGTTTCCATTAGTGCAGCTCACAATGCAAATTAAGCCATTTCCCGGTCAGTGAAGCTGGCCGCGCATAAACATCTCCCCTCTATGGTGCAGGTGCAAAACAGAGTGAAATCAAATCAGCGTTTATCGTCATAGTTCTTCCTTAAGGTGATATCACAGCCGGACAACTTGGAAAAGCTCAGTCATCCCAAACTAAAACAACAACAACAAAAATCACTTAAAAGTCATTTCTTCCTGTAGTGTGTTAACAATTCTGTTGGCCTGGAAAGGGGTTAAACACATTGCAGTTTCAACAGGGCATCCGTGGAACACAAGCCACCTACTCTGCTTTCTATAGATTTTGTTGTCAAAGACGTTTGCCTCTAAATATAGGATAAAAAAATTACGATCATCCTTTCATTTTGCCCTTCTGATGTAAACATATAATAAATCTCCATCGTCCTTTCCAGCCATGCAGGCCTCCCTGCTTGTTCCACTTGGGTTTTGTGACAGCGTGCACAAAGATGAACTTAAGGGACATGTTAATAATGTCTGTACATAACCCTTCCGAAATATCTTCCCCACTTCTTGCTTAGCAGTTGTCCATTTGCTGCACGTGTCATTCTCTGTACCTAGGGCTGTGGGGCATTTCCAGCAGAGAGGTAAGCTATTTTCAGTGGGGCTGTGGGAAGTGTTGCACACCCTCCACCTCTGACCTCTTCTCTGATGTGGTAGTCTTTTTCTGTACCGACAGGACACGCAGACAACAGGGATCTGTGCCGCAGCACATTTGCAGCCGATGACAAGAGAAGGAACGGGAAGGTTTTGGTTCTGACGCCCAAGGACACGGGAACCAAAGGTTAAAAAATAACTGTCTAATTTTGGGCATAGCTTGCATCATTTTTAGCTCCTGGGGGGTTAAGAATTTGTTGTTTCTAATTTGGTTTTTCCATAGATCCATTCATCATCAGCTATGAGGTCGAGGGAAGGTTGAAATGAGTGTGGGCATAGTTAGGGTTGGGTTTGAGGGGATTCCTTAAAGGTAATGAATGTAAATCCCTGAGAGGAAACACCAGAGTGTTCCCCAGCATGTGGTCAGGGCCACAGAAGGTCAAAACGAAAATGCTAAACTAGAATTTAAGCCAATAATCATTATTATTGAATTCAATTTTCTAGAAAATGTTAAGCCCCCTAAGTCTAATAGAAAGATTGCTTAAGATAAACAGCTCTACAGGAAAAAGGAGCACAAAAAGTGACTCCTCTGCAACAGCTGTGTGTGTGTCTACTAAAGAGATAAGATTTAGAAAAGCACTGCAGGTAATTCTACCCCGGCTATAGTGGCTTTGAGCCTATGTAGTGTTGACTGTGACTTTCAGCCAACTAATCCTGTGCCCTCACTACAGGTGAATACTGAATGCTGCAAGTCTGCACATAATCTGCTGTCATGTTTAGCTCTGCTTCCCCAGACACCTCTGCTGCAGGCACAAGTATCCCAGGTCATTTCATTCTCATTCAGGACTAACATTATGCACAGTGTGTATGTCTGACAGGGTGAATGAGGATGTTAAAATGTAACATTTGGTCTAAAAGTCTGCAGTCGTATTTGGAGCCTATCAGATTTAGAAACAATTTCTTTTGTCCTGGCGGACTAGAGCTGCCAATTAAATTAAATTAATGACAGGCTCTTACAGTTACGACTGCAGCTTTAAACATGTCAAGGTGTTTCTTAATAAAATAATATTTTTTTTAATGAACCTTACAGATAAAAACTGTAACGAACACAACAAGGATTATGTAAACTCCAAGCCTCAAAGTCGCCTCACTATTCTGCTTATAGTACAAGAATGACCTGGCTCCGTCTGGAACGCAGGTGTCAGAAAGACACAGAGAGGCACTGTGTAGACAAGAAAAACATTTCTGCTGACGACACAGTTCGAGACAGACAGAACAAAGGTATGGCTGAAGGAAAGACGGTGACCACAGGGATTACATCAATGTGCAACGGGAACTACCAGCCATGGAGATGTTGTTTATGTCTTAGGGAGGATGGGAGAGTTTCATAACCCAAAGAACACTGAACGCAGCGTCAAATTCTAGCTGGGAGTAAATGACAGTGGGGTCAGGTCAGGGTAAAGAAACGATCAAAGAGGATTATGGGGTTCAACGATCTACAGTATTTCATGGAAATAATATTTTTTAAAATCTGCTAATAAAACAGTGAATGAAAGGGTAAACAAGTGGGCATTTAAATTAGGAATACTATATTCACATTATACATTTTTGTTTGTGTCATAATTGTTGTTCAAAAACATTGTTCTTTCTTTTTAAGTCACTCATATTACAATTCTCACTAAATTAATTTTATTAACAATGTGTAAATAGATTCTTCCAGATGCTGGGAAATACAGTATATATTTATTGGGTTAATTTATTGTTTTAATCACATGCAATAAAATGTCAGTATAATTCTGCTCACTGTGAAGAAAGTTAGCTGTAGTACCGTATGTAACTGTGATGTTGTTGGTTTAGCACATTTATAAATGAAGTTGCTGACTGTATACATAGTCATTCATGTTTCCTTCAGTTTCAGAGGCAGCGGCTCAGTGGTATAAAGGACTTTGAGCTTGGGCAGCTTTTTCTCCTCTCTCTAATGCTGCTGAACAGGTGAGGAAATGAATGCTGAGCTGCCACGGCTTTAAACCGATGTGACTTGACTTGTGTTTGAGAAAGGAGCCAGGAGAAGGATGCACATCAGGGTGAAGCCTGAGTGCTCTGACCGGAGGCTCGTGTGTGATTCTGTAACTCTACGGCTGTGGGACTGTCCTCCACATACATCACTCTCCTGTCACTCACTCCTTGATGGGTAACCACGTCAACATCTCAGGGTTAGGTAAATCTGTAGACAGGTGATTAATGCAGAGGATAAACAGCTGCAAGTTTGCTTCAATAGATTAGATGTCATACATCATTTGCGTAGCAGTGAGCATTCACATCTTTAGAATATCAGATCACTGAGGACTATATACAGTATACTGTATCCAAAACTATATTTTATCTGAACAAATTCCTAATGATAAATGTAAACGCCTTGTTTTTTTAATCCCAGGTCGAATAAATAATCTCAGATACATTCTTGGATGAGGCCAAAGTTGAGATGAGGCTGAAGATTGTTTTTTTTTATTTTCATCTTTCGATTATAAAAATGTGCTTGTGCCTGTAAAATCATAATTAAGGATGAGCACAGGCCAAAAAACTACAGGCGCTGTAGTACAAGCTGTGGTGTTTTTAATGGAGCTTTGAAAGTGATGTGCAGATGCACTCAGTGGGAACTAAAGGAGAGGAGGTACAGGCTGGATGCTACTCACAGCAAGGAATGAATATAATTAAACGTGAATGCCGTCAAGGTTAAATATACAATAGCGAATCAAGGGCTTTTTTGTCCACTCATGGTTTCTTTGTGTTTTAACTTTGTGTCATTAATTTTTAATAAAAGAACCCGACAGACTTGTTTTTTCAAGTCCTCAAAAAACCCACAAAGCTCATCTTTTACACAAATGTGTGGAGTGATTGTTACATGTTACATGTGCTGCATGGCTGCCTGTACTATCACTCACTCGGGTGGGTTGGTTTAGATTAACCTAAATAAGCCAAATGCTGAAAAGGTCAGATCATTTCTGTGTGTGCACAGAGTTATGTTCGCTCTGTTTAC